CCCCCCCCCCCCCCCCCCCTCCCTCCCTCTTAACTTGACAGTCACTTTCCTGTCAGCTTTTCAGCATAATTGATTAGAAAGCTATTACTCTCTTCAGTTGGTGGATTGGCAGATTCGAGCCTACTTTTCCCTCCGTTTCGCTATAACTCTTGTCTCTCTACACGAGTTAACTAATTGCTGATATAAAGAAAAAAAGGCATGCTTTCTGGGGATAATGTTGATTAGAGTTGGTCTAACTTATCTTTAGATCCAAGGCTGTACATGGGAGTATAGAAGAAATAGTTGTGTATACTGCTATAGGCTCAATTCTTGTTGCATGTTAACTCTCACAAACTCATTAATTATCAGTTACGGATCCATTAGGTTGGCAATTACGATAAAAGAGACTAATTTTCATAAAACAGGTGACCTATTTTATGTGTTTTTCTATTGGATTTGCTATTAAATTTAGAGTATTCTGTCGGTGCGTTGAAGTCTGCCAGCTGCTCCCACTCTACTCGCGTATCAGCACCTTTATTTCCCCTTTTTCTTTATACACCACTAATTGACTTTGACTGTCGCTGTCATGAAATCATTACCTTTTGCTCTATTTGTTTTTTTATCAATTCTGCCTAATTCTCAAGGTTAATAAACAAGTGCATTTGACACCCGTTGATGAGGAGATTACTGCTTTCTTGTGTCACATCTCTTGTCACAGTTGCTTACCAGACTATAACACCTGGTTTGGATGCGGTGTTTGAGCTCTCTTCTCAACTCATTTAACAGCTTAAATAAGTCAGGAAAGGTTGAACGAAGCTCTCCTCCTTGCAAGAGGTCGACGGATTGCCTAAATGAAGTGTTTGTTTAGCTGACAAGACCATATTTGATTCATCTATCACTTCCAAGGCCGTTTGGAACAGTCATCTTGGGCGAAGTAGTAGCATGTTGGAGCCGTCCTGGTGGCAGACCCTATTTCTTTCCTTCTACTAATTGACTGTTTCCCCCGAGGGGGGGGGGGGGATAGGAGAGCTGGGCATTTAACTCCTTTTCCTCCGACTTCCCAAAGGAACACGATAACCACGGTGAAATAACCTTTTCTTTTTTAATTAGCCATCTACTGGAGAATGAACTAATTTGATGCATCTCTGTACTTATTAACTCTAGAAAAGAAAAGAACACGGTGATCTTCTTCCCTCCATTGTAACACTTCTCTCGTGGCATTTTATGACCAACTAGTATTTAAATAATGGGGTAATATGCTTTTTTTGCTTCTTCATCATAATTTCAATTTAATGAGAGAGAAAAAGACAATCGCGAGATCTTACATATGAAAACGGTTTCAGTGTGTGTCACTCATTCAAGGAATGTAATTTCTCTGCAGTGTGTGATGTTTCCCTTTGTTTTATTGTACTCTCGTTTTTTTTTGGTTCTGTGTGTTTGACTTGTTAATTAGTAGAATTGGGTAAGTGTCAAATTACCACTTTAATCCGTAATGAATGTTTTTTTCTTGACTTAGCCTGGACCCACTTCTCCACTGTTTTTTTTTCCTACCAAATTCAATAGATCTCCACTTGTCAATAAATGGCAGGCGTTTTGATAGTTATCATTAGCCCTTTAGTTGACTTCAGGCTTCACAGAGGGGAGGAGGAACATCAAGGTGAAATAAGTCGAGAGGGGGGGGGGGGGGGGGGAACA